TGCAAATCTTTCATCGTAGAAAGCTTCCATATCTCCAAAGTGATAATTCCATGCCATTGTTGGAGTGCAGGAAGCAAACGCCCCTCTTGTCGCGAGAGCCATATCCCGTGCTTCAACTAGTTCTGTAGGGTCGTTTTCCTGCCCTGTCTCTGCCAAATGATTCATCACTGTGCCAAAGTCACTGTAGTTATATAGAACAGGCTGAAGTCGTCGACGCTCGATATCAGCAAAGAACTCTTCCAACGACGGAGGTTGCTAAGCAGGCTGTAGAGGGGATTAAGCCGTAGTAATAGACGCAGTAATAGAGACAGGTGAAGATAAATAAGATGGAGTAGGTGGAGGAGTAGTTATAGGATTCGTAGCTAGTGTAGATGTAGGAACTGATATGGTAATAGCTATGTTTGTGTGTCGCAAGACCTTAGCAAGTGTTTGACCCTGGGGTTGAGGAGGAGGCTAAAATTGAGGGATAGAAGGTAGCACACGTCGTTCAAAGCCCGAAGGATCTCGACGAGTTATAGCATTCGTAGGTAGTGTAGATGTAGGAATTGACACAGCGACAGAGGTGTTTATGTGCCGTAAGACCTCAGCAAGTAATTGACCTTAAGGTTGTGGTAGAGAAGGCGGTACACGTCGTTCAAAAGCTGATAGATCTCGACGAGTTAATGCCTCGTTCTTCCTCGGCGCACCTCTTGTTTAAGCCGGAAGCGGCTCTAGGATAGATTGATATAGCCTTAGAGAGAGGCTTATAGACCGTCCTTGCTCACGTTAATAGCGCCAATGATCGTCGTAAAGGTGATTTGGTCGTAACGTCGATCCAGAATTTATCATATCTCGTAGCGTATAATGACATGGAAGACCGTTTATCTTCTTATAGAGGCCAGAACAAGGACGCCTCCTACGACGTTGTCTCTGCTCCTTCTGGCGCAGCAGATCCTATTGTCTAATGCGTTCAATTACCGCTGGCATAAGGATGTCATAAATGCCAGGAGGTAGGAATAGCATTGACTCCAGTCTGTGCTCAAATTTAATGCTGTGTTTAGAAGAAGCAATCTATTTCCTGTACTTATTGTATTGACTCTTGACCATCTGCTCAATCCTTCCAACAACACGTAGCAAGTCGCCTCTTGAAGACATAAGGTGGTCCTTCAAAACCCTATGCATTCCTTCAATAGGAGAGGTTGTAACTATATTATAGTGTCGATGCTGAGACGTCTAAGCAGCTGCCCACTCGGTACGTATATGCCATTGATTATCACGTAAGTATTAGCAAAGTTCTCGCTGGTCGGCATAGTCTTTGAGTAACTCGTCCCACTTTAGCTTAAATATAAGTAGACTCTTTACATAGACAAGCTGCTCCAGTCAGTTCTATAAAAAACTTATAAGAGGCATTCCCGGAAGCCTTCCGGTAACGCCTCTTAGGCTATTAGTAGGGAGCATACCTAACTCCAACGTTTCATAAATTGAGCCCGGTGCTCAGCGATTCTCTGCTTCTCCTCTTTTGTTACGCCATCAGCGTCTCGCCAGGTCTTTTAAGCCTTTGTCTGCACATTCTTATTAATATGCCATATACACAGGAGTTGTGGGATATCTGGAAACAGAGTGCGAGCTGCTAGTTTTACCGCATCCTCCTGATCGCTAATGAACACGCGTGGCTACGGTGTCCCTGTATTAAGGAGGAAGTTTAAGATTGCCCAATGGTAATCTGCTTCTTTCTCGCTGCGGAGGAAGCAGAACCCTGTAGAGAAGAATGTCTGTAGATTGGTACAGCCGAGTATGTGCAACAGTAGGAGTTTATACTTGTTGGTTCGGTACGTACAGTCCATCAACAGGATATCGGGATTTGCAAGCAGTAGCTTAATCTGCTTCTAGTAGGTAAAGAAGAGACCTTGTACGTGATTATCCGCATCCTTCTTAACAGTAAAGACCTATTCCGGCGTAGACAGGTCATCTAACAATGTCTTAATCGGACTCCTCCCATTTAAGTACTTCTCTCTAATTGCCTTCCTCTCGCCGCGAATATCGGTAGCAGATACTAGGGTGTCT